GAAGGACGTTAATAGCAATAAATGAACACTTCAAGAAAAAAGAAAGATCTGAATCTAACTTTACATCTCAAGGAAGCAGAAAAAAAGAAGAACAAACTAAGCCCAAAATTAGCAGAAGAAAGGAAATAATAAGGATTTGAACAGAAATAAATGAGAGATAGGAAATCAATACAAAATTATTTTAAAAACTAACAGTTGGTTCTTTGAAAAGATAAACAAAATTGACAGAACTTTAGCTAGAGAGGACCCAAGCAAACACAATTATAAATGCAAGAGTAGACATTACAACTTATACCACAAAAATACAAGGAATCATAAAAAACTACGGTGAACAATCATACATCAACAAATTGGACAACCTAGAAGAAATCAATAAATTCCTAGAAAAATATAATCGACCAAGAATGACTCATATAGAAATAGAAAATCTGATAAGATTAATAACAAGTAAGGAGATTGAATCAGTAAACATAAACCCTTCAAAAAATAAAAGCCCAGGACCAGATTGTTTCACTGTGCAATTCTACCAAACATTTAATGAAGAATTAATACTAATCCTTCTCAAAATATTCCAAAAAATTTAAGACAAAAAAATATTCCCAAACTCATTTTAAGGGCCATTATTACCCTGATACCAAAGCCAGATAAGGACATTACAAGAAAAGGTAGATAATAGACTAACATTCCTGATGAATATATAAGCAAAAATTATCAACAAAATAGCAGCAAATCAAATTCAACAGCATGTTAAAAGGATCATAAAACATGATTAAATGAGACTCATCTCTGGGATACAAGGAGTATTCAACATATACAAATAAATAAATGTGATATATCACATTATTAAAATGAAAGAAAAAAATCATATGATCATCTCAACAAATGTAGAAAAACCATTTGACAAAATTCCATATCCATTCATGATTTTAAAAAACTCACAAGAAATTGAGAATAGAAAGAATGTACCTCAACATAATAAAGGTCATATATGACAAACCTACAGCTGACATCACACTCAACAATGAAGGGTAAATCTTTTCCTCTAAGATAGGGATCAAGACAAGGGTACGCACTCTCACCACTCCTGTTCAATATAGTACTGGAAATTTTAGGTAGAGCAACCAAGAAAGAAAAGGATATAAACGGCAACCAAATCAGAAAGGAAAAAGTAAAATTGTCTGTCTTTACCGATAACATGATCTTATATATAGAAAAATCCTAAAGACTTCACCCAAAAGTTGTTAGAACTAATAAATTCAGTAAAGTTGCAGGATACAAAATAAACCTACAAAAAGGAGTTGCATTTCTATATACTAACAATGAGTTAACTGAAATAAAAGAAATCAATCCCATTTACAATAGCAATAAAAACCACAAAATATTAGGAACAAATTTAAGCAAGGGAGTGAAAGGTCTCTACTCTGAAAACTGTAAGGTACTGATGAAAGACACAATTAAATGGAAAGATATCCCTTGTTTATGGGTTGGAAGAATTAATATTGTTAAAATGTCCACACTACCCAAAGCCATCTATAGATGCAATGCAATCCCTATCAAAATTCCAATGGCATTTTTCATAGAAATAGAAAAAAAACCAAAATTCATATAAGACCACAAAAGACCGCAAATAACCAGAGTAATCCTGAGAAAGAAGAACAAAGCCGGAGGTATCACACTTCCTGTTTTCAAACTATACTGCAAAGCCTATCATAATCAAAAATGTATGGGACTGGCATAAAAACAAACACATAGACCAAGGGAACAGAATAGAGAGCCCAGAAACAAACCCTTGTATATTCAGTCAACTAATATTTGACAAGGGAGCCAGGAACATTCAATTGAGAAAAGACAGTCTCTTCAATAAATGGTGTTGGGAAAACTGGATAGTCATATATAATAACGAAACTGGACTCCTATCTTACACCACTCACAAAAATTAACTCAAAATCGACTAAAGACTTAAATGTAAGGAGTAAAATCATAAAACTCTTGAAAGAAAACAGTAAAACATCTCCCTGATGCTGGTCTTGGCAATGATTTTATGGATATGACACCAAAATCACAAACAATAAAAGCAAAAATAAACAGGTGGGACCACATCAATATAAAAGGTTCTGCATAGCAAAAGAATCAATCAACAAAATGAAAAGGTAACATACTGAAGGGGAGAAAATACTTGCAAATTACACATCTGATAAGGCGTTAGTTCCAAAATATATTAAGAAATGGTCAAAGGACCTGAATAGACATTTCTCCAAAGAGGATATTCAAATAGCCAACATGTACATGAAAACGTACTCAACATCACTAATCATCAGGGCAAGGCAAATCAAAACCACAATAGATATCACCTCACATGTGTTAGAATGGCTACTATCAGAAAGACAAGAGTTAACAAAAGTCGGCAAGGATGTGGAGGAAATGGAACCCTTGTACACTGTTGATAGGAATGTAAATCAGTGTAGCCACTATGGAAAACAGTATGGAGTTTCCTGAAAAAAAGAAAAATAGAACTACCATATGAATCAGCAATTCCACTTCTCGGTGTTTATGTGAAGGAAATGAAATCACCATCTCATAGAGATATCTGCACACTGTGTTCACTACAGATCATTCACAATAGCCAAGACACGGAAACAAGCTAAGCGTCTATTGACAGATGAATGGATAAAGAAATTGTGACATACATATGTATGTGTGTGTATGTATGTATATATATATGTATATATACATTCACACACACATGAATATTATTCAGTCATTAAAAAAAGGACATTGTGCCATTTGGGACAACATGGATGAATGTTGAGGGCATTATGCTAAGTGAAATAACTCAAGACAGAGAAAGACACATTCTGCATGATCTCACTTACACGTGGAATCCAAAACAACCAAATTCATAGAAACAGAGAACAGATTGCTGCTTGCTGGCGGGGAGCGGGTGCTGGAGGCTGGGAGTGAGTGAAAGTGGTCAAAGGGTATAAACTTCTAGTTTCTGGGATGTAACATACAGCACTGTGACTATAGTTAACAATACTGTATTGTATATTTGAAAGTTGCTAAGAGAGTAGATCCTAAAGGTTCTCACCACAGACACACACACTCAAATGGTTACTATGTGAGATGATGGATGTGTTAACTAACCTTATTGAGACAATCATTTCACTATATATACATAAATCATTACACTATACATCTTAAACTTACACAATGTTACATGTCAATTATATCTCATTAAAGCTGGAAAAATCATAGATCTGACATGTTAAATTCAGCAAGGTTACAGGATATGTAGAAAACATAAAAATCAACAACATATGTATAACACTAGCAGTGAAGAATTGGAAGATCAATTTAAATAATCAATACTAGCTGCAATAGCATCAGAACATATAAAATACCTAAGAATAAATTTAGCAGATGTATTAAACCTCCACAGAGAACTTTTTAAAAACCTGAGTAAATGGAGAGAGAAATCATGTGAGTGGACTGGAAAGTCCAATGCTATTAAGATGTCAATTCTCCCCTAATTGATTCATAAATTACACACCACCCCAATCAAAATCTAAGTGAGCATTTTTGTGGGTGTGGAACTAGACAAGCCAATTCCAAAATCTATATGAAAACACAAAGTTAAATACAGAAAGTACAGTATTGAGGAAGAACAAAGTTGGAGGACAAAAGTGCCTGATTTCAAGACATTTAGTAAAGCTACTGTGTTTAAGGAGAAAGTTCTAAACTTTAAAAAATATTTTAAAATATTATGATTGCTATCTATCTTTTAAAAATTTAATCTTCAAACTCTTTGTTGCTGGTATAGTATCTACTGCTGGTTCTATCTTTGTTGCTGGTAGTTATATCTACTTATTTTATTTCCTATATTTGTATTTTTTAATATTTTATTATTATATTTTAATTTTACACTGACAATTTTACAGCATTCTTGCTTGAATCATATATTAGTTCTTTTCCTTTACAAATTTTTATTATGAAAATGCCAATCAAAATTAAAGTCTGAAGAATGGCACCAGGAAAACACAAATACTAATCCACTTATATTCAATAATTCTTATTATCTTCAAGACCTGAATCATTGGTGATGGTCTTTCCTCAAACTTTGCCTGAGGGAGGACCAAAAGCAGAAGCTGAGAATAAAAACAAATTCCTAGGAAATGTCTGATTGTTCTTTAGCTATGGTAACAAATAACTCCCAGAACTGGTTTAAGATTTACCTAATCACTCAGTATGTCTTTTATAGTAATGGTCACAAGTACATAATAGAACTGCTTTTAAATCTGTCTAAACTGTCAATGGCAATTTACATCGTTGTACATGTTACTAAAAGTCAGCCAACTATACGAATGGGTCAGTATAAAAATCATAGTACAGACTTCTTTTGCTGAAGCACTCTCAACTTAGTTCACTTCTCTACTTTCTGTATAACTTGTTGTAAAAGGAATATAACTCTTCAGTAAGAGCTCTTTCTCACTTTCCCCAGAAAGATGTAGATTATGAATATTTGATGGCAGTTTCTTCCTACAACAGTCTGCTCCTTCCAAACATATAATAAAGAACTGAATGCAATGATAAAATAGTTCTCTTAAAATAGAAAAACTAACGAATGTCACTTAGAAAAGCACATGAATGTACAGCAATTATCAATTTTGAGAGAAAAAAGGATAATATGTTTAACAACTAACACTAAAATTGCATTGATTATATAGTGAATATCCATGCAAGCATACTACTATTCAAAACATTAAACTTTGACTTATAAAGGCCAAACAGGTTTTTTTTAATGACATTATGTTCAGTTCAATTTATAAATGTTCTATTTTTTGAAGCAATTATATACAGTTCAATTTTTATTCTCCAACTTAGTAATATAAAGACTATTAAAGGATGAGTAAACTAAGTAATATGTTTATTGATGCTTTAAAATATTTAGGAAATTGTGAAACATGAAAATAATGAGAGCTAACTGGATAATAATTACATACCAGGACAACTCCTGCAGCATAATTCTTGTCACATATCTTTCTAGGAAATGTGGCTCCTATAAAACTAGGCTGTTTCTTGTAGCTAAAACATAAAAATTTTCCTCATAATTACATTAGAGAACAGTATTATTAATGATAATAATTTTAATAGCAGCAAACATTATTGAACAATTACTATGTCTAAGTAACATGCTACTCTGAATTAAACTATTTAAATACATTTTCCTCAAAGCTTCCATGTTGAGAATATTTAAATATGTATTTATAAATTTTGAATTTGACAACATCCAGAAGTATAATAAGGGTGAGGCCTAATAGCTTATGCAAAATGCCATTGCAGTAAGGGTTATAGTTTTTGTTTTGGTTCTCTCTACTTTTATAAAAGCCCGGAAAATTCCATTTTCTGTGATCTCCTTCTTCATTTATTCACTAAAGGTGAATGATTTTTCTGTGCATTAGATTCTAGATAGTGAAAAAATTCAATGTATTCAAGTTATTAGAAAATAAAAACATCATTATTCAGATGAGAGACAAGAAGGTAGAGATAAGATAACAGGTGGTAAAAGTTATAAGCCAAGGGAAATCAAAGAAGTCATATCACTCATAATTTACCTCCTCTACTTATTTCAATGTGTTTATGAAATATTAATTTTATCAGATAATTTTATGTCAGTTGATCAAAGTTTTTTAAAGTCTTGCTTCACATTAGTCCCTTGAGGACAGGACTTTAACTTATATTTTTATCCTGTCACATGGTAGCTATCAAATTTAACAACACAGTTAATATTAAGTAAAGTTTACTTTTCATAATTAACATATGAAATCATTTTGGGTTATTCCTTTAATGCTATGCAAATACACAATACTGTACTCACGCAAATAAGTATGCAGTATGATAAGGTTGGAAGAGATGTGTGCTTTTCCAGTTTAAAAATCTAGATAATATATTATTAGGAGTCCCTGTAGTAGAAATTTTGTTTTTATTTGACCAGATTTCTATGGAAGATATTACAACAGTCATTTTTAATTGGGTAAGCATCTAAAAGGAGAAGATGATAAAATTTAAATAAATTTGAATATGATGTTAAACTTTCATAAAAATACATTTAAGACATCTAATTCAGTATTTTGATTATGGAAACTCTTCAACAGCACAGCAAAATACTATACACATCAATTCATATTACCTATACTTTTACAAAGTATATAAACAAAATAGTTTTTAAAAACTTACTGCGTTAACAAAGCCAATTATCTGAATAATCTTCTGTGTTACAGCCTTTATATCAGAGCCCATGTAATCAAACTGAAAAAGATAAATTATTTTTAAGACTAGTGGATGACACTAATATATCATATACCCCTTACACATATAATGTGCTATATTCTAAAATAGCTATGGGGCCACATTCCAATTGAAATCCTGGAAACCAATAATGACTATCAATAATAATTTATTTAAAAACATAAACAGGGACAGGCCCGGAGGCCTAGTGGTTAAATTTAGCGTGTTCTTCTTTTGTGGCCCAGGTTCTTTTTTGGTGGCCCCAGGAGTGCACCTACATCACTCATCTGTCAGTAGCCATGCTGTGGTGGCAGCTGTCATACAAGACGGAGGAAGACTGGCAACAGATGTTAGCTCAGGGCAAATCTTCCTCAGCAAATTAATTAATTAATTAGAAATTTAATTTATATAATAAAGACATTTAATAAAATGATTTTAAACAATGTTTCGTGCACTCAACTTGGGCATTACTTATTGTTTATGAAAATTGAATCATAAATTTTTTAACGTGGTATTTCAAAATATAGTTATTTCTAAAATAATACATATAATCACAGACCAAAAAATACATGCATAACAAAGGGAAATCTAGAATGAGAGGCTCACTGTTATAGTGATCCTGGATACTATATTCAGATACATCCTTTCACACCACGGAGCAACTTACATCTAACTTCTTCTTTATTCCAATAAGCTGTTTCTTTGTCTAATGCTTAAAAATGTCAGCACAATATGAGCTTTGCTCCTGATTTTTCATTGGAAGACCTCAAATATTTCATCAGTAAGTGCTGTTCAGTTTAAGATAAGTATTTTGGATCATGTTGAGAAATACCTAGTTCTAAATCTCCCTATATACTAAAGCTTTTATAAAAAATAGAGTTGAGCTTCTATCAAAAGTCTTTTTGAAGCATACCAAATGATTTTCGTGTTTTGACTTATTGATGCAATACATTTCGCTGATATATTACTTAATATTAAACCATCATTACATTCACTAATATACTATGGAAAATAATATAATATTTTGTTTAGAAGTTTGTAGCTTTAAGAAAAATGGGCCTGTTGCTCATGTGTGTGCACACACACTTTGCATAATTGAGCAAATGAAATGTTTAGTGAATATTAGAGCATTACCTAAAATTGTTGCATATTTTTCCTATATCCTAGAATTATATTAGCATATGAATTGTGTCTTCCTGAAACATTTTAAAGAACTCTCCTTTAAAATGATCTATACCAAACACTAGCAACTGATCCATTCAAATTATTTTTTTCCACCTTTTTGAGATATAATTGACATACAACATTGTGTAAGTTTAAGGTGTACAATGTGATGATTTCATTTAAATTCTTATCTCCTTTGGAGAATTCATCAAATCTGTGTTTGTTTGAATCTTCTCCAAGGCCATGGTTATATCATCTTCATCCTTTTTAACATCATAACATGTTTTCTTCCTTTTTGCTTAATTATACTTTCTACCTATTTTTTTCAATAAACCAGCTCTTGAATTCACTTATCCATTTTAATGTTTCTGTTTATCATCAACTTATGCTTATTAATTATTGCCCATTCTCCTTATATTTCTCTTGTTTTACAGCTTTAAAACTTTACATTGAAAGCTTCATTTATACATTTTTCATTCCTACTTTCCTAATAGCAAATTCTTTCAAAAATATGAGTTTCCTCTGTGTCTAGTTTTGGTACTATCCTCTGTGGTAGGCATTATCCCTATTTACCAACATTCAGTTATCTTCTAGTTCAGGAACTCTTCCTCTTTAAAGAAAGGCATGGGCCAGGTGATTTACTTTGGCCGATGAAATGAGGGCAAAAGTGATGAATGTCACTTCTAAGGGGAAGTATTTCCTTATCGTGGCTCATATCCCTTTGGGTCTGCTTTTCTGTTGGCTTGGCAATCAGAAAAGAAACTATGCACATGGAAATGCCAAAAAAAATCTAGGCATTCTGGAGTGGTGAGCCAACACATAGAAGACAGCTGTTCTGGAGAGTCACCCAGACCCATGGCTGATGTCGCATGAACGAAAAATAAACTGTGTTTAGCCACTAAGATTTTGCACTTATTTATTACCATAGCAAAACCTTGCCTGTCCTGATTAATACAAACTCTCTAAATTTTGAAATATTGTATAGAATTCATTAATTTCTAAATAGTTTATAACTGGGTTTTTTTTCAACATTGAAAAAGCTACTCATAATGGTATTTAAAATTTTTCATTTTATTATTTTTTGCCTTATCTCTTTTTATTCCTTATTGTTTTAATATATTGTGATAGAGTTTTGGCATATAAGATTTTACTTTTACAAAATTATGGATGTTTTCCTTGTGACCTAGAGATGACTACCTTTGCATACATTTGCTATACATTTTCCACAGATATCTATAGACATTTGAATGTATATGGCACCCATTCATAAGCCACAAAGGTCAATAAGTGTCTAGTAAAGCAAGCTGATAAATAATTTGATCTTTATGTGTTAGCATTTATTATTTGTCTATCTCTTAAAGGCTAAAAGAAATGCTTTACTGTGTTCCACTATAGTTTTGGGTTTTGCTAGTTTCTCTGGAGTATTCCTAAAAGTTTTGTTTTTCTAGTTTCTTCATAACACACTTGGCAACTAAATGTTTACTATTAGAAATACACCTTTAATTTGAATTGCATTTTTCAATATAATATATCCCTCCCATTCTTCTACTTAAGACTTTTTATCCTGAATCTTACTTGATCTATTAGTAATGTCATCCTGATTTTCTCTTTGATTACTAACCTTGGCACATTTTTGTTGGTCTTTTAATAAATGTTTTATACCTAACACTGCCATTTTGTTTTAAGTTGTCTCATAAATGTCATCTAATTTGAGATTCTTAGCACTTTAATAGGGATATTTAACTCTCTCACACTATTGTAATCAATAAAGTTGACCCATAAGTTTCTATTTTCTTATTCATGTCTTCACAGTGTTTCCTTTTGACTTTTGCTATATTATATGAGAATATTTTGGGGGTTTTTTCTGTGATGATTTCAAGGTTATACATTTAACATTGTATATTCAGATATGTTTAAACATTTTAAAACAAGTTTCTTCATTTTTATCAACTAGACCTACCTGGACAAGAAGACCTTAATTGGTCGGAAGATGAAAATCAAAAATTTTGAGGATTCATCAAGGTTTAAGTATTTTTTCCAAAATAGTTAATAATGCTTACTAGGAAGATGCTGAATATGGCTACGTAAATGAGGCAACACCACACCCTATCAATTTATTGGATGCAGCAGTGCATTTCTCTTTCTTTTTGACTTAATGATAAAAGCCTATTTAAATAATTTTTTGAAATGCATGTTTATTTGTGGCTACCCTACTCTAAAGCTTTTAGGTCAACTTTATTGAAGTATAATTTATATACACTGAAATTCACCCGCTTTAAGGATTCATTAATTTTGGCAAATAGCATTTACTTTTTATTTTGAAAAAATTCAACCTACAGAAAATTGAAAGTTTTCAGACTATCCCTACATCCTTCACCTAGATTAAGTTATTACTAATGTTTGCCACATTTAGTTCTTTCTATATATCTTTATCTGTATATGGATGTGGATCGGGGCATGCATTGTTCATTTTGCTGAACTATTTGATAGCAAGTTGCACATATCTCAGATGTAGCTTGTAAGAATAAGGATTTTCTCCTGTTTTCCCACTATACAATTATCATGTCCAAAAAATTTAATATTAATTCAATAATACCTAATATATAATATCTATATGACATATTTAATAACTGTCTATACATATATATGACATAATATCTATGTTTCATATCTAATGATATGCAATATCTACTGTCAAATATATAATATTCTTGGGCAGAGAAGGTAATCTGTAGCCCTGCCCATCCCCAAATACAGCCTCCAACCCTGCTAACCAGAACTCCTGGGAATCTTGACAGCCCACCCTGCAGCCTTGATTGCAGTGGCACTTGAGTGGAGAGCCCAGCCAGTGACTCTGCATCTGCAGAGCCAAGACAGTGGCCCTGACTGGCCAGGGAGCTTAAGATGTAGTTCTGTCTGAGTTGATCCACAAACAAAGAGCATTTCTGGTCCGGGGCCTATTCTACAGTACAAACTGGGCAGGAAACTAATTTACAGCCCCATCCAAAGCTGAATACAGCCTCTAGCCCAGCCCGACCAGGAAACCTAACTGGAGCTCTGGGAATCTGTGTAGCCCATTCTGCAGCTCCAATTAGCAGCACTTTACCGAACAGCCCAAGCGGTGGTCCCACTCATCTGCAGAGCTAGAATGGTGGCTCATCAGGCTTGAAAACTTGGTGCATAATTTTGTCTAATTCGATCCTCAAACAAAAGACTGACCAGAATTAAGGCCTGTATGGGGGCCCTTCCCAGGCAGGAAAACTAATTCATAGCCCATCCCACGGCTGACTATATCCTTCAGCCCATCTGATCAGGGAACCTATCAGAGTACACTGGATGCTGCAAAGCCCATCCTATAGCACTGTTTACAGCGGCACTTGAATAAAAACACAGGGTACAGCTTTCTACATTTGCAGAGTGCAACTGGTAGCTCCATCTGGCCAGGGAATTCAGTGCAGAGTGTTTCCTGTCTTGGGTCCTTACACATAAGCTGTGGAGGCTACAGGGCTCATTTTGCTGCCACACTAAGGTATAATAGCTAATTCATAGCCCCACCTCCTGCTGAGTATAGACTCAGTCTTGAGCATCTAGGAAGCCCAACTAGAGAATCCAGGGAACTGCAAAGCCCATCCTACAGCCTCACGTGGACAGGGAACTAAGCCAGCAGTCCTATACAACTGTTCTCAGCCAGCAGCACCCTACCCCAAACCTCAGAGCTCATGAAGTAGCCTCATCCAAAAATACACCCTGATAGCAAACCCCACCTGCCCAACGACACTACCAGCTGACACTGCCAGAGTCCCAAGTTAAGCTGAATTAACTTGTTAAGGATTAACAAGGATTGTCTCTGCCAAAGCAAACTTGTAAAGTCTGGAATGGAGATAGCTTACTCAAATGTGCAGATATCAATGTGAGGAATCAAGGATCACAAGAAATCAGGAAAATATGACATCACCCAAGAAAACTAACAAAGCTCCAATAACTGACCCTAATGAAATGGAAATCTATGAACTGTCAGACAAAGAATTCAGAATAATCATCTAAATAAGCTTAGTAAACTACAAGAATATGTTCAAAACTAAACAAAATTAGGAAATCAATTCATGAACAAAATGAGTTCAACAAAGTAATAGAAACCATTAAAAGAAAAAAAAAAACAGATATCCTAGAGCTGAAAAATACAATGACTGAACTGAAGAATTCAATAGAGAGCTTCAACAGCAGATGTGACCATGCAGAAGAAAGAATCAGTGATCTGTAAGACAGGGAATTTGAAATTATCCATTGAGAGGAGCAAAAGTAAAAAGAATTAAAAGGAGTGAAGAAAACCTATAGGACCTATGACAAATAAGAAAAAGAAAAAATATCCATAATATGGGAAACCAGATGCAGAAGAGAAAAAAGAACATAAAGTATATTTATAGCAATAACAGCTGGAAATTTGCCAAATCTTGGAAAAGAAATAGACCTCCAGATCCATGAAGCCCTAAAGATCCCAAATAGGTTGAACCCAAATAGGGCTACAATGAGACACATTATAATTAAATATTCTAAAGTCATAGACAAAGAAAGAATTTTGAAAGCAGCAGAAATCACATACAACGGAAACCCCATAAGACTAGCAGCAAATGATTCACCAGAAAGTTTTCAGGCCAGGATAAAATGGGATGACAGTGGTGCTGGAAAAACTGAATCTCTAACGCAAAAGAATTAAGTTGGACCCTTACCTTAACTCATATACAAAAGTCAACTCAAAATTTATTAAAGACCTCAATATAAAACCTAGCAGAAAACATGAAAGAAAAGTTTTAGGAGATTGGATTTGGCAATGTCTTCTTGGATATGACACCCAAAGCTCAGGCAAAAAAAGTAAAAATATACAAATGAGATTACATTATCTTAAAAACTTTTATGCATCAAAGGAAACAATCAACAGAGTGAAAAGTCAGGCTACAGAGTGAAAGGAGTTATTTGCAAAACATATATCTTACAAGGGTTAATATATAGAATATATAAAGAACTCCTACAACTTGGCAACAGTGAAAACCACGTAATCCAATTTAAAAATGGACAAAGGACTTGGAATGGACAATTCCACAAATAAAATACACAAATGGCCAACATGTGTATGAAAAGACACTCATATCACCAATCATAAGAGAAACACAAATCAAAACCACAGTGAGATATCACGTCACAGCCATTAGGATGGCCACTATCAAAATAACAGAAAGTAACAGGTGTTGGTGAGAGTGAGGAGAAATTAGAAGCCCTGAGCACTGTTGGTCGGGTTGTAAAATGGTGTAGCCATTTCGGAAAACAGTATGGTGGTTCCGCAAATAAGTAAACATAGATTTACCATATGTTCCAGCAATCTGACTTTTGGGTATATACTTAAAAAAATTCAAAGCAAGATCTCAAAAAGATATTTACACATCCATGTTCCTTGCAGCAATATTCACAACAGCCAAGAAGTAGAAGAAAGCCCAATGTCCATTAATAGGTGACTGGATAAAGAAAAGGTGGTATAAACATACAATGGAATATTATGCAGTCTTAAAGAAGAAGAAAATACTGTCACATGCTGCAACATGGATGAAACTTAAGGACATTATGCTAAGCAAAATAAGCTAGTCACAATAGGACAAATATTGTATGATTGCATTCATATAAATTATCTAAATTAGTCAAAATCATAGCAACAGAAAGTAGAAAGGTGTTTGCCAAGTGCTGGAGGGAAGGAAATGGGGAAATTAGTGTTTAGTAGGCACAGAGTTTGTTTCCAAAAGGCAAATGTTCCAGAGATCTGTAGCACGATAATGTGAATAGACTTAAGACTACTGAACTGTACATTTTAAAATGGTTAAGATGGCAAATTTAATGTTATGATTTTTACCAGAATAAAAAAAATGATTACACAGTTTAATGCACAAAATTAGGAAACAATCCTAGATCTGACTCTAAACTGTGTATGTATAACTGCTAAATCTAGTTTACTATGAAATACAACAAAAGGTACATCTTGACTAGAAAATAATTAGAGAAATGGGTAACTTCCCACTGGTGGGCTATTTCAAGGACGCTGGGGGAACTTCGCAGCAACCTTCCCATTGGGCTTCACCAAGGCCACAGCCACTCCTCACGTCTGCCACTGGTAACCACACGGCAATGGATAGTTTCAATTAAGTAATTGGTACCTCTTTAAGTGTATCCCTATACCTCTGAAATCTTAATAAAGAACATTTTCTCCGTGAGGAAAGAAGGAGTTAAAAAGTAATCCAGTAAAAAGAAAACAGAGAGAAAGCCAACAAAGTTTTTAAGATAGCTGTATCATTAAAAGGCTACCAAATTAGACTTAAAAGGGTCTGAGATTGATAAAAGTCCAAAAAGCTCTCTCGGCTCCCAACCAAATAAAAAAATGGTTACTGGTTTAAGCCACTGAATTTTGGAGTAGTTTGCTATGCAGTAATAGATACACTTATCTTAAAGTCTACTTCGTCTAATATTAAGCTAGCTAAAGAAGGTTTTAGAGCTTTTGTTTTTATGGTATATTTTCACAATCTTTTACTTTCATAAGTGCCATATTTTAGATACATCAGTTGCAAGCAGAACATGTGCATGTATGTGTGTTTGTCTTGCATGGTAATCTCTGTCTTTGCTTTTAATGGATCTTTATCTTTGTTTTTTAATTGCAGTACTTTGTCCTTCTACATCTAAATAACTGTATATATGAGTTGAAATCTTTTATCTTAACCTCAGCTTTTAAATTTGCCCCACATTTACGAAACAAATGCTTAATGTATAATGTTTTTATTTTCCTTTATTTCCTTCTTTTTGTTGATTGATTACACTTGAAATTCTGCTTTCCTACTTCTAATTGCTTTGTACTTTTACAGGAATATGATTTCAGAGTATGCACTGGATTTGTACTGAGTCAACATAGCTATACTATAAAACCCTCTGACTCTTTAGTGAGCCATACACTTCAATTTTTGTTAACTCTGCCAACATTTAGCTCAGCTTCCCTGTTTCTGGAAGAAACAGATTCCCTTAGAAATAATATGTTTATTTTGTAACATATCTTAAAATTTTATATCTGAAGGTTTTCTGGATCTAAATCTATCATTTTTTGTTTTGCTAATCCTTGTTCACGGTGGCTAATTTTCCTCCAGATTTTGAGCTCATATATGGCTGATATTAATCTATGAGAATCCTCCTTGAAGATGCATTTCTCCAGAACTACTATCTGCTTCCACCAGGTGCCCTTGGATTTTACCAACCTGGAACAAATGTTGCCTTATAGCTTAGAATCTCCTAACCACCTATGTTTTATAAATTCAAAATCTTAACTCATACAAGATCTGACATTTAGTCATGAATCCTCAATATGAGAATTTCGTTTGTTTTGCTGTCATTTCATTTACCTAGAACTGAGAACAAAACAGAAAACTTGTTTTCTCCCTTTGCTTGAAAGAAGTGGCATTATTTATTTTTGTAGACTACCCTTCCAATTAGGCCGAAGCAGTTAAATATTATTGGTGCATGTCGGGGTTGAGGGTTTGGAGGAACTTTAATCTGTACTTTCATTTAGGATGTAGCCCTTTTTTTGAAAAAAAGAAAAATAGCTGACAAGCTTTAGAAAATGAAAATATGCTTCCGCTTACAAAAGCAATTAGAGAGATCTTATACTAAAAATAAGTGAATTAACAAAAACTTAGTTTATTCACAATTTTTAAGCATTTATTAATTGTAAAAGCAAAATAAACATTTATCAAAAAACAAAAAAGGTTTAAAATTCTTATTACATCATTGAAATAAAGTTAAAAGACAAATATTAAATCATTTAAAAATAACAATACATAAAAAGGACCTACCAGATTTTTATCCACAACAATATACATTTCAAGATATCGAGGGAATGACTTAAACGATTCAGTTCTCTGAAAAACACACAACATGGGTCCTGAGGAATTTCCAAAAATTTACCTTGTATTAAAATTTATCCTCAGAGATAAACTGAGAGACACGTTGCTACTAATTACATAACAAGGCTGTGTCAAATACAAAATTTAGCTACTATTCAGAAAATTCCAGTCTAAAAGGTGTCTGAGGTTAATAAGAATTTTCAATGACATTTCAAGCTAGATAAGAATTCAGGTATCTTTTGATTAGCAACAGCTGAAATTGAAAATTGAATTTTTATAACAAATTGAAAGTTTATAACATAAAGCTTTTCTTTCTTTAGTCTTGTGATAATTTTCACAGTAACTACACATGGAAAGATATTCTGCTACAACTTATTAGGAAACTACTTTTGGCAAACAATAGAGTTTAGAAAAATATTACTGAAGTGTACGGTCAATGGCAGCTCAGGAGAGCCAGGTGTCTTACTGATGGCAATTTATAGGTCTTTCAGGAGGAGGAGCTCATCACTTTGCCTTACATGTACCTTATGTAAGCCACTGATATTCATTTCTGAACTCTCATGAAACAATGATTTAACTTAGAAATCCAGATCACATAATATTTTCACCTAAATTATCAGAGTAATTGAGGAAAATGAATAATTTACACTAATTACCCAAACCCACATGTGAACATTATTATCTTTTGCTTTCTTTAATCCTATATTCACATACTCATTTCTAAGATTAATTACCTAAGTTTTTGCTAGACTTTATAATCTAATAACAAGCATAACAAAGAACTTAATTTCATTCTCTACCCATTTTAAAATTTATACAGGGCCCTCACGAAAAAGTAAAGTAATTTTATGATTCTAAGTCACAAAATTTTGCTCTGAAAGTATTTTTTGTTTCACAAAATTATACTGAATAAGTTAAAATTAGAAAGTCAACACTTACTTTTGAACCTTCTCTGACTTGAAACTCTGAATTACGGCTATAAGTTTCATCTTCTCCTAAGAGACGAATATTAGCGTTATCATTTTTTTCCTTATAAATCATGTGCACGAATCCTGATATAGCCTCCACTGGTTCGATTCCATATGAGATGTTTTTAATCTGCAATGTTCCCCTGAATGTTAAGATAATCAAAAGAAGTCTGAAATGATTCTACCAAAACTATAATCTAATATTCTAATAAGAAATTTTGGCCAGATTTTTTTTCCACGTTTAAAGTTACCTTATTTTTTCTACTTTATCTCTTTATTCTTTGAGGTGTTACCTGAGAACTGGACCAGTAATACCATTGGATATGTATTGCTTTATATTACAAATACTCTAAGGGAAATGTTTTGATTATCTTAAAGAAAGCATGTTAGTGGAATGGATTCACGTGTTTTAACAAGCTATGACCCTTGCCTCTAGGGTACACGTTTTCTAAACCAGCCTATAGGATGTATAGGCACTCTTCATTAGTATCAGGTCCCTTTCTTCTTTTTAAGACACCTAACTCTCCCCTGACACATAGTGTCCCAAATCATTTGTGTGTGGGCTGAATTGGAGGTACTACCTGCCTACAAGTGACTGAGAGTAGACCCAAAGTGTCTATTAGATTCAGACATTTTACAGCTGTCACTCATTCTAGGAAATTAAGAAATGAGTAAAAACATAAAGAATTTGGGAAAACTATAGAAGTATGGACCAATCAACCCCCTCCTACAGTCAAGATTGTTCAAAGCCTCAAGCAGCTTATCCCATCAGAATCAACAAGTAGCCTCCCATCAGGAACAGATGCTGCCAGGGTGACCAACTCTATTTTATCAGTAATTCTGGTTTACTCCTTAGGGAACGGGAATAACACAGTGACTGCAGAACTAGAAAAGATACAGGGAGGACCAACTTGTAGACCTGCAGGGTCTAATACTGGCAAATAAAATATTTTTAAATAGGCTACAACCTGAGTCCTGAACAAGTGTTGAGAGACACAAGAGAATTTGGAAAACCTGCAACATATCCATGGTAATTGCAATCCATCTGGAAAAAAACCACACAAAGAAAAAGAAATGGATAACTTATTTTAAAAATAGACATCCCCCAGATGTGTCATTTATATTTACTACTTTAGCTACCTTAGGACTTTAATGTGAATGGCAATTGCCCAATGAAGTGGTGCCAGGTAAAAATAAGAACTAGTCCAGGTTATTCGATTTTAGTGAATATGAAAAATAATATTCTAGTAATTTCAGAATATTCATATTTTTAAAGAAAATCCAGAATAAGAAATCTGTAAAAATTCTAGGTCTTACCTGAGCTAACAAAGGCTTAGAACCTTGGGTATCATCTTTGTCATAAGAATAAACAACAGAAACTGAAGATAGAAATGATCTAGGCAGAAACCACAAAAACATGCTCAAGTTGTGAAATAGAAAACATAGAAAAAATTATTCTTCATAATACAAATTTTCTTTTTACTGAGGAATTTAAAGTAGTGCCAAATATCTTGGCATATCCTATTGTCCGGATACTTTTCTGTCATTTACGATAAATTAGGTGCTAAAGGAGGCATTTTAACTATAGTGACGTACAATACTAAAATGCATGATAACAAACAGCCCAAATTGCTAGAAATATCAAATGGTGAAATAACACAGGTCCCAATTTCCAGCATAGAACTTTCTTATCTTTGTCTTTATTGCTCATTGATTCCAGAAATTAAACCTGAATCTCAAAATTAAAATGTAGCGTTATGATAGAACTTAGACAGATTTTCTTGGCATCACTATAAATTCTTATTCACTAACTGTAGCTAATTACCAAGTTCTTTTCAATAACTTTGGTCAGAATTCTCTTTCATTTTCCTCGAGAACTATTCAAAAACTTGAAACCACTTCTGTCAATCAACTCACATAACCTCCATGTCACCTCACTTTCAGATCACCTGTACCCAGCCTCACTCCTTATCTTTATTTCCAGAGGATGACTACTCCTTTTGTTCAAAGCAAACTCTTAACAGTTGTGCTATGAATTTCATCCTGTGCTATATATTAAAGACACATACTTTTTCAATCCTATAATTTCAAACTTCCTCTATACTGTTTTTTTGTCTCAATACTATTTAAAAGTTTATTATCAAGTCTTTACCACTCTAAATAACTCTCCCTTGACCCCGTGTCCTACTCGAGCTATTCCCTATATATTTTCAATTCTGAATAGATTTTGTCAAAAGAGTAGTTTCTCCACTTGCCAATTCTTATTCAGCTTGAAACTGCTCTGGAAAAGATTCATAACCACCAGAATTTCAAATCCAAAAGACAATTTTAAAATAATCATTACACTGGACTTCTAGCATAATTTTTGAAACTGGGGCCACTTCATCTAATCACTTAATTTACATCACACATCACACTTCTGCTTATCTTCCTACCTCGCTGACACTTCCAGCTTGACCTTCCATGTTGGCTGCTCATTTTTGTTCTGCCTATCCCAGACATATTAGTCTTTCCTGGGATTCAGCCTTTAGCCATTAGCCTATATGCACTCTGTAAGCTCTCATTTAAAAAAAAATTACAGCCAAACGATTGATTACTGCTAAATCTTTATCCCTATTGCCAATATCCCCAGAGATGCAAATTCCTATATTCATATACCTAGTAGAAAAACCCACTTGGACATTTTATAGGCACTGCAAACCAAACTCACCTCTTCCTCACATAAATATCTCTGTGTTCATATTCCTCATTTAATTACACTATAACCTACCCATTTTCTTAAGCAACAACTAAACTATCCAAGATTCCTCACTGTTTCCCAACCACTCTATCAAATCTGTCTCCAAGGTCTTTTGACTTTTTCTTTCCAGAGCTATGACCAATGCCGTTGTTCAAGCCACCATCATCACTCACCTAAACTATTATATAATCATATACTTAGACACCCCGCCTCTACTTCTGCCTCCTCAAATATAGCCTGCAAGGCTCAATGGGCCTATATAAGTACATGCTTAAAAACATTGTTGGCTTCCAGTATCCTTATCATAGCATTACAGATCTTCTACAACCTGGCTCCTGCCTACCTTTCCAAAATCTTCTACTTCAATCTTCCATAAAGTATGTCCTTTAGTAATTCACGCTGACTTTTTGCACACCACAGAATCCACTCTGTTTCACTCCATGTTTTGCACATGATTTCTTCTAAACAGCATTCCTCCACTACCACCCCACTTCTTTACAGAGCTAACTAGGTATCTTGCCTCAAGCTACAAGTCATCTCTTACCTCCTTCCAAAAAGCCTTCCCTGATTTCCAAAGAATACCATTTACACATTTATCATAATAACATACTATAAAATTCTCCATTTCTCTTATTAATGTGTTTGAATATATCTTCTGGTATTATAAATTCTTTAACTGTCAACCATGTTTTATTGTCTTTTGTATGCCTAGGACTTTACTCAATAATGGATATAGAATAGGTATCAAATGAATATAGGTATCAAATATACATTTGAATTGAAATGATTCTATTCATAACTATTTTTAAAAATCAAGAAACCAAAGAATTAAAATTTGAAAGGATAAAATAACTACTTACTGCTTTTTGAGATGGATAAAATATGGTTTTTCTTCTATGGTAATAATATAAGCAATCTGCAACATGAGTATCCAAAAAAATTTCAGTAATAACATGTAAATAATATATGTTAAATAATGTTTTCTCTAACTTATGCTTTAAAAATATTGATGAAATTAATACTAATAATATATAACCATTATATGTGCTTCCCTTCTCATGTGGATATTTGAAGCCTCAGGATTCTGAATTGAGAAGTAGGTGGTAGAATCTCCACATGCCTACTATTCACCATTTCTCACATTTCTGAGAAAAAAGTTTCCTGATGATTGTTATCTTTTGGCTTAGACACACATCTCCACTTCACCATGCCCAAGGCAAATACCAAAGATGCCCACCTCACTTGAGATAACCTGTTGCTTGCTTATTCCCAGTCCTCCTGGAGGTAAATTGCCAAGCTCATTGGAGGAGACACTCTTAAAAGACAGAACTACAAGAAATGTACTCTAACAACATAACACAAATAGTACCATTTCACTTTCCTTTTCCATGTAAGCAATGAAACTCTACTGGAATAGAAGGTAGGAGAGGATAGAGAGAGAGCAGAGATGTGTCTAGAGAACCCCCGAGAAGATAACAGAAAATATGAGTCATCAAATTATTGATTTGGTTAAATTTATAAAATTATTTTAGCAAAAGAAATAGCCATTTAAAAGTTTTCATTTCCTTAACTTTGTATTAGAGCAGAACAAGATTATTTGCAAGAGATATATGTTCTGAGAAGATGCATTGATTGGCACTCTGCAAAGAAGTATAGGTCCTGAAAGTGATCATGAAAATTGTGCCCCCTAATAATTCCTTGCTGGGGGTGGCCTAGCAGCATAGTGGTTAAGTTCACATGCTCTTCTTCAGAGGCCTGGAGTTCATGGGTTCAGATCCAAGATGTGGACATACACACCACTCATCAAGCCATGCTGTGGTGGCATCCCACGGATAAAAGAGAGGGACACTGGCACAGATGTTAGCTCAGGGACAATCTTCTTCATAAATAAATAGACAAATAAATATCCCTTGTTATTAACCAAATATGTTGAGAAATAAAGGAGAATATAATAGTACCAATAAAACCTAAAGTCCACATATCTTATAAAGCAAAAACCATAAACAAATTAGAATGTAATTAATAAGAAATGTACAAAACTGACAGGAGAAAAAAAAGACACTATCCAGAGCTTCTGAGTTTTCCCACACAACATCCAACTGTTTGGATTGAATTGTGTTCCCCTCCCTCCAAATTTATATGTGAATTCCTAACTCCAGTACCTCAGAATGTGACCTGATCCAGAGATAGGGTCTTTACAGAGACAATAAAGTGAAAATGAGGTAATTAGTTTGGCCTATAACCCGAGATGATCAGTATCCTTATAGACAGGGGAAGTTTAGACACAGACATACGCAAAGGGAGAATGCCATGTGAGGATGCATAAGGAGAAGACATCCATCTACAAGCCAATGATAGAGGCCTGGAGCAGATCCTTCTCTCACAGATCTTCCCTCACAGGAAGAACCAACTTCACCGTCACCTTAATCTTGGACTTCTAGCCTCCAGAACTGTGAGACAATAAACTTTTGTTGTTTAAGCCATGTTGTTTGTGTTACTTTGCTGTGGCAGCCCTAGCAAACTAATACACTAACTTTCAATAAAAAATTAGAAGAATTGCTAAAGAACAGGATCTAATTACTAAAAAACAAATAAAAATAGAGAATAATAACAAAGCCAAGGATAATATGTATAACAACCATGATTAAAATGAGAAAATGATGGACAATTTCAGTAGAACTGTAGAATCTCTAATAATCAAGTTGAAATTATAAGCACAAAAAATGAAATATATGTTATTAAAAGTTCAATGAAATGTTTTAAGATTAGACATACAAGAAGATATGATTGGTGGACAGAAATACAGGTCAGTAGAAAATATCCAGATGGAAGCACAAAAAGAAAATACAAAAACGAAAACTAAAGAAATGTGACCCATTAAAAATGTCTAACATTCATGTAATTAAAGTCCAAGAGAAAGACAGAGATAGAGACTAGGACAGAAATGATATGTGAAGAATTCATGGGTGAAATTTTCCAAAGCCTATGAAAGTCTCAAAATACTCTATGAATCCAAAGCAGGATGAATACAAAGAAAGTAAAACCTAGGCATACCATACTCAAACAGCTAAAACAAAATACAAGGAGAATATATTTAAAAAGCAGCAAGAAAAAAAGGACATATTACTTTAAAAGTAATTTTTCAATAACATATAAGTATCTCTCCCAAAGAAATAATGGACACCATAGGGCAATGGAATGATATCTTTAAAGTGCTGAAATAAAATAATATCCAATCAAGAGTTTTATAGCCAGCAGAAATATCCAGCAACTATACAAGCAAAATAAACACATTTCCTCACAAGTGGAGATGAGAGAATTCATTGACAGAAAACCTGCACTGAAAGAAACACTAAAAATAGTTTTTTTAATGGAAAGAAAATTTCTCCAAGATAGAACTGTGAAAATGTAAAATAGAATGAAGAACAAAGGAGAAAGAAAATATGTCAGTAAATGTAAGTGAATATCATTTGTTTATAATGGTAATGCTAATTGCCCCTGTGATTGAAAAAAACACATGTAATGGTAAAATACATGACAATAGCACAAATGACAGGAAGGACATAAATGGACTAAAGTTTCAATGTTCTTGAGTTATTCAGGAAATGGTAAAAATACAAATTTAATATAGCAGGTAATAAATTAAGGATGCATGT